TTCCGACGTGGAACTATGATGGATCTAGCACGGGTCAAGCACCGGGTGAAGACAGCGAAGTCATATTACGGTAAGCTTTCTCTTCACCATCCTCTCTTATTTAAAAGTTTATTGGGGGTATTAATATATCTTTGATGCTTGTTTAGCCCTCGGGCAACATTTCCTGATCCTTTTAGACGAGGAAACCATCTCCTTGTAAGTGTTTTTTGTCTGTTACTTCAATATACTTCTGATCCTTCTTATAGCGGACTGGAACAAAAGTCCAGTTTTTTCTCGTTCAATGTATAGGTTATGTGTGATGCTTACCCATCCCGACAAATAATAGGTATAAGTCAGCTGAAATATTTAACCATCCTGATGTTAATGCTGAGGAACCTTGGTATGTTGTAATTCATTCGGCTTTTCTAGTTTTTCGTGTTACCATTTGTCGAGAATCTGAAATGAATATACTGAAAATTTATCAAGTAATAATAATACAGGTTTGGTATAGAGCAAGAGTATACTTTGTTTCAGCAACATGCCAAATGGCCAGTTGGGTGGCCCGTGGGAGGATTTCCTGGACCTCAGGTAATGGAGTGAGAGTTCTTGACTATCCCATATTGTCTAGCCTGTAATAATTTTTAGCTGATATTATGAACACGTTTGGTTTGTTTTATAGGGACCGTACTATTGTGGGATTGGCGCTGATAAATCATTTGGTCGTGAAATAGTCGATGCCTACTATAAAGCATGTCTTTATGCTGGCATCGAAATTAGTGGTATCAATGGAGAAGTTATGCCCGGCTAAGTAAAAAACTACATTAAATTATATCATAAGGATTGCTCCTTTCCTTTACAAATAGTATATTTGATTTTTTGTACCCCTAATGTTGCAGAGTTTCAAGTTGGTCCAGCAGTGCCAGTGGGAATCTCTGCAGGAGATCAGCTATGGGTGGCTCGCTACATTCTAGAGGTATTTCTATCATATTCAGTTCAAATGTCGAGCATTCTTACATCCATAATTGCTCGAATTTTGTCTTTGGTTAGAGCTCGAATGCACCTTATGTGAGTTCTTTGATTTATATTGACAGAGGATAACAGAGATTGCTGGAATTGTTCTCTCTTTTGATCCAAAGCCTATTCCGGTCAGACCTTTTTATATTGGCTATTGATTATTAAGAAGAAAAGCCATCTTATGCCATGCACAATTTTAGGGGCTCGAATACTATGCCTCGTAATACAACCTGAACTTCGATTATATTATATCTTTTCCATGTCAGGGTGACTGGTATGGAGCCGATGCTCATACAAATTACAGTACGAAATCCATGAGAAGCGAGGAAGGTTTGTTATAAAGCAGGCCATCAACAAGCTCGGATTGAGACACGACATACACATAGCCTCTTTTGGAGAAGGCAATGAGCGTCACCTCACAGGAAAACATGAAACAGCTAACATCAAAACATTCAAATGGGTACACCTTTGTTTAGTTTCAATTTAAGGCATGCTTCTTTGTGGAATTTCGGGTTTTTACCTTTTCAAATAGTCATTGCATGTAAATCTACTGAGTGCAGTGGGAGGGGGTAGATGATCGTTTATGACGTTCTTTTTTGTGGCATTACTCTTATCACGTCATTTTTAGTATGAGATGCATGTGTTTTGTGTTATATAAGCTTGTGCATGCTTAGTACTTATTAGATTAGACAAAATGCGGAAAACATGTACAAATTCTGCGTATTCTTGTCTTTATACTTATGGTGGTTTCTAATGGTTATGAATTTATAGGGCATGGCAGATCGCGAAGCCTCGATTAGGGTTGGCAGAGAAACAGAGAGGGATGGCAAAGGTTATTTTGAAGACAGGCGGCCAGCTTCAAACATGGATCCCTATGTTGTGACTTCCATGATTACAGAGACAACCATCCTCTGGAAACCTTAAAACAAAATAAGTATTATTTTTCCTTAATTGATCTCTTAGGATAAATTTGTGTCTAACCCTGTTTGAGGCAAATTATTGTAGAATGAGAATGAAAAATATAGCCGTTATTGTGGCACATATAAGATATAGAAAATTTGAATTTAAATATTGATGTGATGGATAACGGTCATATTTTTCATTTTAATGAGATAAGAAGGTGTCCCAAACGAGGGCTGAATAACTATAAATGAATCTAAGTGTGTGTTTGGTAGAGATATTTTTGTGGAAGAATTGATTTTGAATANCCCCCCCCCCCCCCCCTCCCTTTAATTTTATGTTTTGTATAGAACAACAACAACATCTTCAGCAAGAAGCCAATGAAACGGTTTGTTTGGTAGTGTGCCTATGACGTGATTGATCATATTCCTTATCGTACTTCGTCCACTGTTAGTGGAGACCTTGTTTAATGAGAAAGTTCGTTTTTGATTTAAAAAAAACAAAATATGACTCTAATACCCGTTGTTAGTTTCAAAACTCAAAAGCCAAGTAGAAGTAAACAAGAACAAAATGGTAATTTTTCTTTCAAAACTGATGATATCTATTCGTGCGATATAATCTTAACCGCTCACATTTAAAAGAATGAGACTACTTCGAATGTGGCAACACCTCTCGTCTACTTCTCGACCATTTAATCTTCTTTTGTATCCTCCAAAACCGCCTTATAGCCCTAATAGCATTTGGTCGATCCGTGTGTGCAGTCTTGTTAATTATGTAGGATATACTTATCGTCGTTTCACTGCCAAAGACTCGACAATCCCTTATAATACAAGCTTTAATGACCTAAACTCATTTCTGGTCAATTCTTGTCCTACTTATTTATATCAGTGGTCTAGAGACCATTTGCTAATTTGTGTAAGTTCGTTAAGTAGGGATTGATGTCCAATATTGTTACAACATGACTGTTGTTATTGACATTTTATTTTTTTTATTATTAGATAATTAATAATTATTTATTTAGTTTTGACTTAAATACTATTACTTTTATATTTTTGAGCATGCCATTGACTGTCTCGATTACTTTTGCCATAATATGAGCTAGGTGTTTGGGTAAACAATTATATATAGTGGAAATTACACAAAATCACCAAGCCCGACCCAAATTTAATTGATTCTTGAAAGTGGAAATTACACAAAATCAGAGTTTTCAAAATTCAATTTCAACTTTCAGATATAAGGTTTTACTTTTCAAAAATCAGATATTTCATTTTAAAATATTAATTATTAATGAGGAAATTGCACTACATGTCTTTTTTGGCTTTGCATTTTCAAAAATGTCACTTTTAAAAGCCTTTGCAACATTGTCATTTTTTGAAATTTTTGCTCCTATAGAGAATTTAAATACCCAACACATTCTTGAGTTGACAACTCAAAAAAATTGTACAAAAAGTGAAAAAAATTGAAAACCAATCACCTAACAATTGTACTTGGAAATTTTGGACAAAAAAATTGTGAAACCCAAAATCAAACCATGTTTCCATCCATTGGCCTATTTCAATTTTTTTGGGACTTTCATTCCAATAAAAACCTTAGAATCCGCCGATTTCTTTGGATCTCTGTCAACTTCCTGGTAAGCAGATAAGCCCTTCCACGTCTCCCTCCACCTCTCTCCGTCGAACACTTCATACCGAAAGATGGCCATTTTTGTGTGTATTTGTTATATCTATATTTCGTATGCTTGTTTAATTTATTTGGATCTTAGCCACGATTTAGAGTTCAAATATTTTTTTCTTTTCATTGATTAGGATTGTGTTCAAAAACCCTGTCCTTGTCTCCTTGCTGGAAATTATTCGACCAGAAAGGAAAAATTGCAAACGAATCAGCCTACTCCTGCTTCTCGTCATTGTTACTTGCTACCGTTGTCCACAGTTGTTCGCTAGTAACGGTTCAAGCCCTAAACTGAGTGATAAGGTTAGTCATTAATATTTTTGATTTAGCGATTTTTCTTCCCGTCCGGTGACTCATTTCCAGTATTTATATTTGAGCCTGTGAACAGTGAATAGATGATTTTATGAATCTTAGAACATGTGAATTTGTGATTTTTGAATGGTTGAATCTGTCTGCCTCTGTAACCCGTTGGTTGTTTTGATGCTCTCTTGAATTTGTGTTTTTGTCAATATGTGGTTTGTAAATTTGCTTTGGATATTTGTTTTGTGAATTGTGTTTGTGATATGTGAGATTTAGTTTGGAAACTTCATCAAAATTCAAAATAGAGGTGGTGATTATGTATTACAGGATCATGTATTTTTACCTTCTCAATGGTGATTATGTTCAGCCTTCTAAGTGAAAATGTCTTTTGACTTGTAGGTAAATTGGGTGTTACTTTATGATTTTTTGAATTAAGAAGAAGTAAAGGTAGTTTCACGATCGGCTATATTAATAATGTACCTTACATTTGCTTGTTTTTATTAAGTCAATGCTATAATGTGGAAGAAGTTTCATTGATTATCTTGTCTTGTATTTGCTTTATAATATTGTCTTGATATTTTCGTCGTCTGTTTGGCTCCTACCATGTGGAGAGGACTGGCCGGTTTGGCCAGATGATTGTAAATACTTTACTTGCTATATAAATTGAAGGAAAAGAAAAGAGTTATAGCACACGAAAACTGAGTGTTGAGTGGGAGGGGGCTAAACGGTATACTTAAGATTTTTCATGCTCTTGTTGTTGTTCTTTTGTAATTGGTTATTAGGAATGCACATAGTAAAGATGATTCTACTACCCCTTTGTAATTCTAAATTTTATCTCTTAATGGTCGAAACATAAATGAGCGGCATAAAAACAATCAAGGTAAAGTACCTATAGTCAGGTATAAATTGAAATTCATGCATTGCAAGAAATTGGACTAGATTATTGAGAATTATGCTCGTTATTTAAATTTGGAAATGTTATTGAATTGATTACATTAGTTAGCCTTTACATTATTACAAGTGTTGGGAGGAATTAGAACTTCTGTATTTACATGACGAGTGTATTTACGAGGAAAATGTCTCGTTTGTTCTACATTTAGGAATGAAATTAGCTCTTGAATAATATATATTTACTTAAGAGGTTAAAAGTAGATATGTTAACAGTTCACTTCAGTAGAGAAATGGCATAGCGGTGAACTGTCGTCTATCGGTGAACTGTCGTTCCAGACAGTTCACCACAGTAATTCTCGGCAGATGGAAAAATGTCGATAGATGAACTGTTGAGACCTAACAGTTGATGTCAGTTTTTCTCGACACATGACAGTTTCACATGTCGAATATTTGTTCATTCGAACGTAATATGTGTGTTTCGCATTAACATGTACGAAATATTGTGAACCATAATGTTTTCAATTATTTTTGTAAATTTGTAATATATTGTTTCGTGTTTTATGATTTTCGTATTACATGATATTCGTTTTCAATTATTCATTTTATTTCAATTATTTTTGTAGATTTGTAATATATTGTTTCGTGTTTTATATTTTCGTATTACATGATATTTGTTTTATTTTGTTATATGATCTTCGTATTATTTCGTTAAATTGTGTTACTTAATTTGTTGTTGTACCTTGGTATCAATATATACCAAATATCATGATCTGATATTTTTTTTGTTTTCTCGCTGTACCTTGCTAAAGAGATGGATTTCAAATTCTCGTTCTGGAAAATGCACGATTGCAAGCCTACATTTCGTAACAAAGCAATCTTAAGTACGTAAAAAGGGTCCTGGACTATTGCAGAAGTTATAATATGTCTAAATTCCTACTGCATTCGATATATGTAAACTTGGAAGCTACTGCTGACTATGAATTTTGGCTCATCGTACTTTTGTGTAGGCTATTGAATTGCCAGTTGCGCCCACCATACCTGAAGAAGGAAATGATGTCGCTCACACAAAGAGGTTGTGATTGACACGCCTTCGACTGCCTACAGCATCTACGATGACTTTGTACACTAGAGGGGGAGGAAGACAATAAAGAATAAGTGTTTGGGTGGGTATCCCACAGTGTTTTCATTATTGTGACCTTGTTTTAGGTCCAATCTTGGTAATCGCGAAGTTAACCTTACTAGTGGGGCATGTCTCTCAACCTACCCTTCATAGCATCAGGTACTTACTTTCTTAAACAAGGGCTTTCAGTCATTTCTTTCTTTCTTTCAATCATCATTATACAATTACCCGCTGGGGACTTTTGGGCTGCTTTTCTCAAGTTGTTGAAATAACATTCTCACATAGCAGCTTGATTTCCTTTAATACTAGCTACCCTTTAGAAAGTTTCGAATTTCATACATAAGTGATGGATGGGTGTTACTGTTTTCATCCCGCTATAAGCAGATGTGCCATCCATGACCAAAAAATCCATATATACTTGAAATGCAATGGGCTCTTCACCCAGCTCAATTGCCAATATAATTTATCTTCTTGGAATTAAAATATCTCTAGTAAAACCAAACAAGAGTTTAGCCATGGTGATCGACCTGTATTTGATCAAACGCACTTTCAGGCAAAATATTCATAGAGCCACCATTACCCACCAGCATGTGGTTAACGTGGTTACAAGCTATTATAGCTTGCACTACTAATGCATCATAGTGGGGATATATGATTTCATATTCATCACCACTATTAAATGTAATTGGAATGCAATTTTAGGGTTATCTCAAATCCAAAACACTTCCGGTGCAAGTTTCTTAGTGGAGTGAGCATAGTTTCTTTGTGCATTCATTTTTCCCCGCCTATGTAAGGGTCCCCAATTATGGTGTTGATTTTCCTTACTAGAGGTCGAAAGCTTGAAGCGTTCACTAGTACTTTTGTTGGCTCTACCTGTCTTGGCCCGATTTTTCGAACTCACCCCCTGGTTGGATAAGGTGGTCTTCTACTTTCAACCACTCCATGTGAACCTCCTTGCTGACTTTGCAGTTTAACCATTTTAAGTATCTCATAGCATTTATTTGTATTTTGATCCCTGGAGCAATGAATTTTTACAGAACTTAGC